CCCCAAAACCCCAAAACCCCAAAACCCCAAAACCCCTGGGGAGGAAGGGGGAGTTGAAGAGGGAATTAAGGGGGTTAGGGGATGTAGATGTATATTTGGAGATCGTCTTTGGATCTTTTGAGGTATTCTTTCTCGATAAGTCTCTCAATCGACTGCTTGATCATTTGTGGCTGAGGTTTGAATAAGAAGATTTGTTTGATAACCTCTGTGATGAGTTCGGTGTGACTCTCTTTCTTCCTTGCCTTCATGATCCTGACAATCATAGCATCAAGTACAAGAGCTCTTTCGCTTTTGATCTCTTCTTTGATTTTGTTCTCTATATCTGTCATCTTCTGTAAATGTTTCTTCTTGTAAACAACTTTCGGAATAAAGTTCACTTTAACTAGATTATATTTAAAATTTGTGTTAACTTCCAATCCCTCATCTGGAGCAAACTTGGGCACCTTGGGTTTATCTTTAGACAAAAGTCTCATTTTAGGATTTCAAAGCTGTTTTAGTTGCCTAACTAATTCTTCCTCAGGCAATCAACTCATTTCCTTAACCTGAGCAACAGTCAATCTTTCATGCTCATTAAAGAGGCATAAGATTACAGCCTGATAACAAGTAACTGTCAATGTATAAGTTTTGTTAAACAATAGTGTATTTATAACTGCATTACAAGAGCCATAAAGCCATTTTAAATTTCTCCCACCATTCTTTTCTTTATAAAAGAGACTAAATTTTTGGCTTCAGACGCTCAACTCAGGAGGTAGTTTACAAGAATATGCGGTTTTTTCTGGCCACATGCCTGAAGTTAGAATATCTACATTAATATCTACTCCTCTAAATTCAGTAGTTCCTCTATTATAGATTTTAAAGTCATTCATTGTACTCTTAGAAAGTTCAATATCAGTGAACATTTTCGTTAGCCTTCGAACAGTATTTATTCCGCACTCAATCTTTAATTTAGAGATCATTGACTTCTCAGCATCAGCGTTCAATGAAGTCTTGTTCAGCAATCTCTGGGCTAGATATTTAGTATACACCTTAATGAATATATCTCTGTCATGGATGCACCTAAAGAGACAAATAACTGCTTCAAAGGTGTCCTCAATCTGGTTTTCAGTCATACCTCTAATTCCTCCTTTAAATAGATGGTCACAATATCCTGCAATGTACTGTGGAGTTTCTGAGAACTTATTCATAAAACTCAGGAAGGAATTTTCGCAAGCTAAATGAAACTTTCGATCATTTTGGAAGCACTTCAGAACAATTTCTTGGATTTCTGCCATGAGCTCCAGCAACTTTTCTACAAATTTGATCGGCTGCTTCTGTAATCCCTCGTTGCTGATCAATATTTGGCCTAACTCTTCAACATAATTACTAAGTTCGAGGAGGATGTATTTAAGAGTAGGCTCAACTCGAGAATACAGTAGGTACATTTGTGACAGCAAATATACACTTTTGTTCTTAAGAAGCTCTTGTCATCCACTCTCTTGTCTTGTAATGATTTCTTCAGCTTTCCATTCTAAATTGGGTTAGAGTCACTTCTTTTACCTATTAATATTTTATTGAGAGCTAACTTTAGTTGATTTTTAGTGCTTTGGTCCATGTAGTCGACTAAGATTTGCTCTTCCATTTCTAGAGTCTCTTGAACAACAGCGATGTACTCTGGTCAACTCAGATTCTGAGCCCATTCAGTTGCTTTTATAGAGTAATAGTCTTGAGTTTCTTTGATAAATTTGTTCTCAAAAACATCCCTATATTTGCTCAGATCTTTGACTCCACTCCAGCAGTAGTCATTTCCATTCTTCTTCAGTTGAACATCTTGCTTATAGCCAATATCTACAAATGTTTGAAGAGTCTTATGAATAAATTCCCAGTGGACATCTTCCTTCAACCTGTGCCTCTGGAATGAAATTAAAAGTGCACTAGTCAAAGCTTGCTTCAAATTAGTGAAGACAATGTCTCTAAACAAACCGAGAGCAGTAAAGACAAAAGACTCTAGCCTGTTAAATTTGACATAGTTTCTATCCACAAAATCAAACACTTTTGAAAGCCATCTTGTAACTAGAGTAAAGTTATCGAACTGGAGAGTGTATTCTTTAAGAAGGTCTTCTTCCCGAAGATCTTCTATCTGAGCTAAAACTTTGCTAAACGTTAAACAATTTTGATTACTAGAGATATTTCTCAATGGTTTCTTTGTGATATAAACAATATTTTCTGCTGTTATCAAACTGATCAGATAGTTTGTACACTTGCCTATTAATTGCTTTGATAATATCTTAGAATAAAAATAACTCTTAAATGTTATACAAAATTGATCCCTTTCAATAAAAAATATTTTACGTGTAACAGCTGACATATTCCTTATTTTGGATTGCTATTTCTCCAGTTTCTAAAAACTCGAGGAGCTTGCCCATAAAACCTTCGATCATCTCAATACTGCTTTCGAAGGTAAGATTTTGTATATCTCCTCAATCATTTTTTAAAACAAATTTCTAATAATTTAATCGATAAAACTCACCCTACTTTCCCTCTTCTGCACAATATTTGTATGAGCTTCATTCTGTCTGACAATAACCTCATCATTACCTCTCATCAGAGGCTGTTCATTCTCTAAATATCTAAGATTACAACCTGCTTAATTAATCTTTTCAGAGAGAAATGACAAAAGACTTATTAAAACTACGCATACTTTTAAACTTAAACCTCTTAATTCTTTGGCTAACAATACTATCTGTTTGTCTCCTTCTATGGTCAACTTTTGGAAGCCTCTTTCAACACGATTGGCCCATTCACTCTAAAGGAAGTCAGATTGGGAGAGGAATAAGCCATCTTCGTACTTAATAAATATACTATAAATTAATTGTTAAAGTTCTATTGGATTTTGACTATTTGGGGTTTTGGGGTTTTGGGGTTTTGGGGTTTTGGGGTTTTGGGG